ACGTTTTTTAGGTTACATTGACTTGTTCTTTTGTGTGCCACGTGTGATGCGTATTTTCTAATGTAGCATGCTTTTTGAACTGAAAAAACCAAAACCCGGGAGTATGAACAGCGAAGAACAGACTACTTAGGAGAGGAAACACACTGAAATCGTTCGCGTTCAGATTCGAAATTTTCACAGTCACGACCTTCGCCTTCATTCACGAGTCGCAAAGCCCCGAAGAATCCCCGAAGAATCTTTGCAATTTTTAGAAATTGCAACTTGTAAAAGTATGAAATTTCTTCTACCTTCAACGCTCGTACGTTGTAGATCGGTTTTTCCAGAGAAGTTAACGAACTCCAGCTTGTGAATGTCGACACGATTTCGATTCTGAACGTCGGAACGTCAGGTAGTTTTACTTGGTCCTTGGTACTCGGACAAGTTTGGACAAATAATTCCTAACGATAGTTCTTTTTTTCTCTTTTTTTTTTTTTTTTTTTTTCTTTTCTTGTTGACAGTGTATATTCAGTGAATTGTCATTTGACGCGTTTTTTTTTTTTTGTGCAACACTCGCTTATTTGCTGTACACTACCGCAACCGGAGCTTTGGATAACAAGAGAAGTTTTTTTGTAACTGAAGTGTGAACAACATTCCCGGCGGCCGACGCTGGCACGAGAATAAACCTTTGTCGTTGTTGTTGGCAGTTCCTGAATATGGCGTCGGTGTTCATGCGGATTTTTAACCTGATTTGCATGATGCTGCTGATCGGCCACTGGAGTGGCTGCCTACAATTCCTGGTCCCAATGCTCCAAGGATTTCCTAGTAACTCATGGGTCGCCATCAATGAACTGCAGGTAAGTAAACCAGCGCCGGAACTCGAGTCCTCCGCAGCTAAACTATAATAAATCGACGACTGTTATCTCGTACAAAGCGTAATACGGATTTCCCGTAGAGAGAGATATTTCGACAACGAGAATCTCAGCGAGATTTTTCCTGCTTCTCTCGCCCGATTTTCGCCACTGATTTATCTTCCCTCCCCCGGAGAAGATGATGAAACGTTGAGGAGGAACAAAGCGGAACAAGGCGAGAGTTTGAAAAAACAAGAGGCGCAGCCTAACCTTCCTCCTGCAACTCTTCTCTCTGCTAATGGCTTTCCCTTTTATATAACGAGTCCATTCTGTCGTCATGCTCCTCGAATCTAGAATGCCTTCGTACTCGGAAACTGAGAACGAAGACAATGATCTCTCGGCTGATCTGTTTCCTCCGGGAGGGAAGAAAACAGTGGCAACGTGGCGACGATAAATTTCTCGGCTGCTGTCGTTCCTTCTTTCCCTTCTTTTCTTCTCCTTTCTTTTCCTTCTTTCCTTTTTCTTCTTCCAGGACTCGTTCTGGCTGGAGCAATACTCATGGGCCCTTTTCAAAGCCATGTCGCACATGCTCTGCATAGGATACGGAAGGTTTCCACCGCAGTCCTTGACCGACATGTGGCTCACTATGCTCAGCATGATCAGCGGTGCTACCTGTTATGCACTTTTCCTCGGACACGCGACCAATCTCATTCAGTCGCTCGATTCCTCCAGAAGACAATACCGCGAGAAGGTAGTTAACATTCGACGAGCTGACGGTGAATCGAATCGAGGGAGATCTTTCCTCCGTTTCTGATTCTGCGTTCGACGTTGAAATGTTCAAGAAGTTTTTGAAATACTTTTTTTGAAATACTTAATTCGCTAGTATTCTATGTATTGTACAAGACATTTTCTTTGTCCTTTGCTTTTCTCTACTTTTTATTCTTTACTTTTTTTTTTTTTTTT